GTAATAATTGAAAGGGATATGAAATTTCAATTAATTGAGTATCTGTAAATTGAAGTTCCTGTAAATAATAATATAGTTTTCCCCACCTATCTTCATGGACCCCTGGTCTACACCATCAATTCTTCGAGAATGGCTGAGCTCTTGTAGGAGTGAGGCAGCACTGAAATGAAGGGTGGTTGGGTGCTGGTCAGGGACTCCCCCTCTGTTACGAATGAGGGCATTCCAGGCAGAAGGCCCTGAAGCGTCCCTCAGGTTCACTTTCTAGCTGATGGCCTCATTCTCGTCACCCTTATTTGCTCTATGAGTAAAGTGAGAATCCTGCTGGGGTTGCCTGGTCCAGATGCTTCACAAGGAAAAAGGGGAGGCCTATCTTGGAATCCAGCAAGGAAGGAAGCCCACCAGGGGAAGAGGAACTTGGGTAAGGCTCATTTCCCTCTGAAACACATTTTCCTGGAGTCCTGTGGGGCATCCGTGGTGCCAGGGACAGGCCAGTACACCAGGAGACCAGCTCCACCTGCTCTCTGGGGGCCTGGCAAGTCACCCACCTACCTTACTTTCCCCAGTTATAAATAAATAAAGATATTATCTTTCAACTCAAACTATATCTCACCATAATTCTACAAGTTGGGAGCTAGAAAAGTATGCAAACAAGAAATAAAAAACAAACAAACAAACAACTACCCAGATAAGCATGACACCTCCTACCTTGGGGCCTTCATATCTATTTCCAAAGGGCAGGAATGTGAGTCACATTGTTTCCCACTATAAATGATGCTTCCCACCTGCTGGCACAAGGAGCTACCCAGACTTGATCCCTAAGGTGCATGAGATGAGGCTCAAGATGCTTGGGGGACCTGGCGGCCGGATGGGCTGCATTTGTAACATGTCTGTGGTTGTAGGAAGGAGACAAGTGCAGGCCAGGATTAGAAAGAGAACCTGTGTCACCTGGTCCAGAGTCCAAAGAAGTTTGGCAAAGGAAGACAACGAACCAGCACCTCTCCTGAAAGCATGAGGAACCCAGGAGGGTGGGCAACATGGAGTGGTCAAGATTCAGAGGACGGTAGCTCAGGCCTCTGTTTTTCAACCGACCCCTCCTTGCAAACCCCACCAGGTGGCCCAGTTTTTCTCCCCTCTCGGGGCAGCTTTGCTGGGACACTGCTCAGGGTATGGAGAGGGGCCTCTGAAAGTGTTTAAGGCCTTCCCAGGCCAGGCAGGGAAAAGAGAACACGCCTAACCCCTCACCTTTCCACTTTTCACTCGGGGAGGGAGAGCTCAATTGTCTCCTGATAGCACCTTGGTGCCCTCCTCCCATTAAAAAGTAGGTAGATGGATGGATGGATGGATGGATGGATGGATGGATGGATAGATAGACAGACAGACAGACAGACAGACAGACGGATGGATGGATGGATGGATAGATAGATAGATAGATAGATAGATAGATAGATAGATAGATAGATAGATAGATTAATGAGCGGGCTGCAGGATAGATAGATAGATAGATAGATAGATAGATAGATAGTTTAATGAGCGGGCTGCAGGGCCCTAAGAGATTAGGAGAGTGGGAATAGAAGTGACTGATGAATTTGCATACTTCATACCAGAAACCATATTTGCCCTCATCTGAATAATTGCAGAGACAGCCTTCCTGAAACCTAGGAACTCCCTACCAGCCTCAGCTCCCAACAGAAATGAGCCCCTGCCCATTGAAGGCCCCCTTCTCCAGGCCTCCCCTTACCTGGCCTCCCATCAATGTTGTCGCGTCCCCTATGGCCAGGGTCCTCTCCCGGGGGCTGTGGCTAGGTGAGAAACAAGCCGGACACAGGCAAGGGGATAAGAATGGGCCAGGCCTCCCCACCACTCCCAGGCCATCCCACCCTCCGTGCTAACTCCTGGGGTCACTCACACCAGGAATACAGATGGGAACAGTGGGTGGGGCAGCCACAAGCTCACACCTACTCACCTAGGATCCTGGGCTAGAGCAGGCTGCTGCTCTGTGTTGCTGTGGGGTGCAGGTGCTTCGGCTGGGGACAGGGAAGTCCTCTCCGCTCAAATTATGCCTCTTTGTTGGGCCTCCCACCACCTGTCCCCCACCACATCTCCTCTAGCCCCTCAAATCCTTCCTCCCCTCCCCGGCACTCTTAAATAAGGGTCCCCCTCTTTCATCCCACTCTCTGCGCCCAGTTCTCCGTAGTTTCCCACCTTGGGTCTCTTCCACTCTGCCCAGCTTGGGACCCATTCCGTTCCCCCGGCTCTCGCCGGCCTCTTTCCTTCTGGGCCTCTCTCTTCAGACCCTCTCCCTGGCTGGCCTCCCTTAAACCTTCTCTTTTTCTTCCCTCTCTACATCCTGCCCCAGTCCGTTCCCCTAACCGTTCCCCAGCCCTGGCCTCCCCTGGTCCACACCCCTCTTACCTAAAGCAGGCACCTCCAGGGACTCCCCCGCCGGCTCACCCCAGGACAGCCAGGCGCAAGCGAGGAGCAGGCAGAGC